TGGTCGTAAATATGACCGAGACCGGGCAAACGTCTGCTAGGATGGTAATGCAAGATTTGCTGTGTAATCGAATTCAAACACAGATCGCCGGAGAGGGTTGTGGAGTGCATGACAAATCGTTTATTACTTAATCTATACCTCATTTGTATGTTTGATATAGCACCCATTAGAACCAGAGCAGAAATACAGTATAGTAAGTCATTTATTTCCCCAGTGAAAGTATAAATTCATAAACAAAGTCCGTCAGCTGTGGAGACAAATGTATCTCCTTTTATTAACAGTTCACATCTTCATACAACAAGATGTTGATTAAGGGCGTCTTCATAAAATATATTCAGTAAATTTCATACTTCTATAGCTTTCTAAATTATGGACCGATAAATTCCCACTCGTTACATCTCATGTGTAGTGAGTGATGAGGTAGAACAGGTTTTTCTAGTTAAACAAGCTTTCGTCATGCTGAGTAAAATTATCCGTAACAGTCATCAATCACACTAGCCCTTTCCGACCCTTCCCGGATAGTATGATATCACATTTCGCTCTACATGTGTTCACTTTGACCATTATTGGTTTACTTTCACTGTGAGTGATAAGGTGATATATTTGATATACTCACCTGGAGTACCTTGCCGACATTCCCAGTACCCATCGCCCTCAAATCCCTCGCGACATTGACATCTGCCACCTATACAGTAGCCATCCCGATGACATTGAATGTCTTCGCACGGATCTGAATGCACGAAGTGAGTGTGAACGAATGGATGGATGGTCGTTCTATTTCTACGGAAGCGACATGTAGGTTGCGCGGTACCAGGTGCCCACATGCACGCACAACGTTACTCAAAAGTTCACGCACGCACGCACGCACGCACGCACGCGTGCGCGCCTGCATACACACACTGCCGCGAACAACAACGCAATGCAGTAAGCGATACGAGCAAAATGACAGTCCAAGTGTTTGCAAAGGTGGACAGTTGTAAATATAATAAACTTTTATTGAAAATGAGTACTGATGAGGTAAGCGAAAATAATCGCATGTTGGATGAGCTTGATTCTCATTGGGACATTATACCCATAAGGGAGCACTCACGTACGCACACTAGTGCGTATGCCAATATACACGAGGTACGCACAAGCGTTCGTGCAACCCCCCACACACAAACACTCAAGTCTAGCGCTAAGTGACCATGGCAGCTGCACTACACTTGTATAAGAATCACGCACGTCCGTCCAGAAAACTGTGCCAACATACACTCAGGCAGCAGAGCACGCTGTTCATAGACAAACATTTCGCGCACATGGTGGCGCAGTCCAGAAAAATGTAATAATTGTGAGATTTTCAGCATGCAGCAACTACTGCGGAGCTGTGAACATCACACTACGTTGCGTTCACGCTGGAAATCGCTCGATGACCAGCAAAACACAGCGATAGAAACTCACAACCGCTGCCCACTTTGGCGGCAATAACACTCACCGTCCCGACTTCTCTTACATTCTCTGTACCCGTCTCCCTCGAAGTCGGGTATACATTGGCATATGCCGTTCCGACAAATAGCAAACGGGTGACAGGCTACTTGAGAACAGGGATCATCTGAAGGAATGACAGTTTGGAGTAGTTGGTTAGCTGAAAAGGTTGCTGAAGTCTAAATTACATGGATCCGTAACAAAAATGTTTGAGAGTATGAAAATAAAATGTGACAAGATTTTAAAATGTTCAACTTGGTTGACCCTCGTCAGGACACTCTCCGTCTGTTTCTTAGTACACTGCACATTTTTAGACATTTTAATGTCTAATTTCCCACTTTTGTCTTCCAAGGGTTTTTTCATTCAGATTCTCGGTTAAACCCATCGTGAATTTTTACAAACTGAGTTAGTTTGGAAAACAATGAGTTTGGGTCCGAGTCTCGTGAGTGAGTTTGGATAGTTCACCACGAATGAGCAGAACAAAGGTTATTAGGTCACCGAGGGTGGAATGACATGTTGACACGGAATTAAGCGTTAGTAGAATTGTTAAAATAGGTATGTATATGTGAGTATGAATATTGCTATTGTGAGTTTCCGCCGTCGGAACAGGCAAATGGTAACGAGCGAAATAGTTTGTGGGCGGCATGCGCGGATAGTAGAGACGGTCGTTACTGTTGTGGTTGTTGATACACGAACCTAGGTGGCGTCGGCCACTCACTCACTCACTCACCGAACATTTTCTTCAGTCATTCACTCACCAAAACGATCCTTTCTACATCTATAATAGCCATTCCCTTCGAAGCCAGCTATACAGCGACATATTCCGTTGGCGCATCGGGCATTATTGTGACATGTCTGGTTGATGCAACGTGCTGGTAATGCAAATTAAGTTAAATTGATCGTGTCAATTACAGATTCATTTGGTCTTATCTTTACAGGGGACACGACAGTTATGATACATATGGCTTTTTATTCAAAAGGAACAGTGAGAATAAAAAACCCATTTAATTTACTGTATGTTACGCCGCATAGCAAGAGTTTGTTGATATGAGTGGAAAAGGATGCTGTAGAACAGTTGAAAATTAGTACAAATCCGGTGTGGAAATGTTTGTAAGATTCACCAGCTGTTTGCACAGTAAACGTGTTTATCGCTCGATCAAGCGGTGGTCATAAAAATGGCATTGAAACCGAGCATACGTGCGCGGGAACAATATGGACATATCGGATTAGTGGTAAATGCGAAGCGTATCGATGCATGGGGAAACATACGTCAAATAAACCTCAGATGACATGCATTTTTGTCAATACTAAGAACATACCACGCTCTTCAAGACAGCGAACCATTGGATCTCCAGTATATCCGGGTGTGCAAATGCAAGCACCGTCTTGGCAGAAGGCGTTCTCGCCGCATCGTACTCCCTCACACAAATCCACTCCGGACGGTGTGCAAACGTCGTTCACGCAAATCTCGTTACGCCGACACAACGCACAAGGATCTTTGCGGTGGTTGTGTGGAGTAGGTGGGTGGATGGAAGGAGGGCGGGAGCGGAGGGAGCGGAGGGGGTTAGCAAGAGTGCAAGATCGTTTGGGCACTACTGATACTGCTTTGTATTCGAATATTCCTGTTTTGTACACCTAACGGCTGAGAGTAAATGCACGAAGCAAAAAATTACTTTCAGTTTATTGAAAATCGGCTCTCATAGCTCGGGTAAAATGAATTCCTTTTCGCCTGTTCGCCGAGCTTGGTAATTTGTTTGCAAACGTTTCGTCACTAGCCGACGTGACATCATCAGTGCTTGTGAAGTGGCTGTGACCTGGGAACGGATCGAAACCGNAATCATGACGAAAGGACAACTCCCTGCCCTCCCATCCTCACTCCCATCAACCAGTTCAACGGCTAACCGAGTCGAACACAGTGAGAACAAGGGACAAAAGTAGTCAGTGGAGAAGGAGACATATAAACGAATGGGAACAAGCAGAACACTACCACTTCACAAGCACTGATGATGTCACCTTGGTTGGTGATGAAACGTTTGCAAACAAATTGCCAAGCTCCGCGAACAGGCGAAATGGAACTTTCAATTTAGCTAGTTACTTCTCTAAACGTACATCGGTATTGAAAAATTCCGGTTGTAAATGAATTGACAATATCGTTATACGCATTTGAAGTACTTAGATGAATTGAGGGTCAATCTAAATAATGAATTGTGAAAGCCCTCAGATACAGGAGTAGCTTCGCAAGGAGCTAAGTTGTTATCATTTGTAAATAACTGAGTTAACGAACTCGCCCGGAAGGCAATTATATAGGTTTAAAACAAGAAGGGTGAGCAAACTGCTTTCTGAAGATCATTCGAACTATTCATAAGTGACTTAGATGCTTTCATATCCATTCGAGTGTGTTGAGTTCTGTTTGTGAAACAGTAAACTATTCACGCAAATAGGTTTTCGGACAGACAAATGATTCTATTTTACGAAGGAGGGAAAAACACCGACCCGAGTCAAAGAGGGATAGAAATTTAAAGAAATTATACCTTACAGTTTACCCAGATGCGTCAAAGGATTTGGTTACATCAAGAAATACAGATATAACAGCATCCGAAAAGGATCTTTGAGTTTTGCATGCAAACTGAGCAGGGTGTTCAGGGGTACTAGTAGAAACAATCAGACGTTTGAGAATGACACGCTTTGTTAAATGAAGATCACAGGAATTTGGAGCAATGACACAAAAACGTTTGGTTGGAATAAACGGTTTGGGAATAGGAACCGTTTTAACGGGTCTCCAGTAATCCGGAATCGAATGGGTGCAGAAGGGTGTGTTAAGCAGAGCAGTGAAGGCGTCCATCCGATAAACAGCATCTTACTTCAAAATGAATGCCAATGAACCGTCAGGACCGAAGTCATCGATTGATCTGGTTGTACGAAACAGTTTGAAAACCTGTTCTGTCAAAAATGGGATTATATTAGCAACATCGTCCAGAATCCAAGAAACTAGGGGATAATTCCACGAAAGCATCAATGCGTGGTTTATACTTTCAAAATCCTAATCACAGCTTGTTGGTCTAGAGTTCTTCTCATACATACGCAAACGTACCTGATTAGTGATGACTTCCAGGCCATATGGAAGTATTCCTTTCATCTCCCAAATGATTTTAGCGAGTTTATTTTCTTTAGGTTGACAGTTATACCATCGCACAGATTTGTTATTGCTGTTCTGATCTCCACGGAAAGCTTTCCCTGAATCCAAAAAGCGTCAATTTTTTGTGGTTTATCATATTAATAAAATGTTCTTACAACAACCCTATGGTAATGCTTAACATTTTGTGAAGGACTGTAGTTCGTTTCCTCCAGTATAGGTTTTCTAGTAAACTTCGGCTTGTCTTTGGTTGCCAAATGGTGTCTGAAGTGGATTATTGGGTTGATGTCCGAGTTTAAGGCTTTTATACAGTTACCGAAATTTCGTAGTATGTAACTTTGCTGTTAGGTGGTTCGGAAATCCTATTTTCTGGGTTTCAAGATATCCACTTCCTTCAAAAGATCGCTGTGATTATGGGATTTAACTACTGTCCACTTCTTAGTAACCCTTACTGGCGAAACGCATGCGTAATTTTAACCCTTTTGACTCTATTTGGTTCAGCTCCAATTTAGCAGCTGGATCAGAGTAGGCATATTTTTATCAATCAGAAAACAGTATTTGGTATAACTTTAATATCCTGAGTTTGGACTGTTCCTAGCTGAAGCCATCTCAAAAGTTCGCTGGAAAGGCGATTACTGAAGGTGAGTGGGATTTCATTGTTAAAAAGTAATCACATCGCACCAGATGAAACCGATCATTAAAAGCGTTCCTCATTTGGTGCGTCCGAACCGTTAAGAGTGCTCGATCAGATATTACGGAGTCCACTGGTTAGGTTAACAGTATGTCAGAAGGTTAACATGATCTAGTTTGGTTTAATTTACGACTCACCCTCAAGGATTGCAACAGAATAGCTAATGAGTGAATGACATGTAAATTGTTTGAGACAATAGAATTTGCGATTTCAGATACTGAGTTTACATTCACGATTCGGATGTTATCAGCCAAAGTGCAAGACTGACCAAAATCAGATGTGAATATTCATTTTCACAGCAGTGTAAGGTTTGACATATTAGGCATGCTCCTCACTTTGGATTGCGTGTAGGCTTGTGTACTTCTCACCGGACCATTGGGTTCATGAGGGTTTGACAAAGAATTGAAAATTGGTTCTCGTAGCTCGGGTAAAATGAATTCCATTTCGCCTGTTCGCTGAGCTTGGTAATTTGTTTGCAAACGTTTCATCACCAGCCGAGGTGACATCATCAGTGCTTGTGAAGTGGCCACTTCACAAGGGTTTGTTTATTCTGACTCTCAAATTTATTGCAAAGCCCTCACCCACAGCAAACGTATCTGCCTGTGATCATTAGCCTTTCAAAGAGTCCGCGTCATTCGTTCGGCGTTGAATCAGTTCGTATTGTTCGACCTTTAGGTGTAAAGCTTCCAATGCAACTGTCAGTAGTCCCATTTTGTAACATCTGATTATCAGTGAGCATAGGACTGATCTGCAAATTGTCTTCAAGATTCCTCTATCAACTCTTAAAAATCAAACTAGTGGATCATGCAAAACGTTTCGCACCGATACCGAATTGGTGCGGATGCAGATTGTGAAACGCTCTGTCAACAATGTATTATAGTGCAGACGTTGGCCTCAACACGTTCATGAGAAATGGAAAACCATTTTTTCCCCAACCTTTTCCCATGCCCTCGTTGTTCCCCGTGACAGATCTTTTAAACGTGCGTTGCATCCGCATATAAAAATGTGAACTGAGGATTGTGCGTGAAGATGAATTCGGAGGAATGGCTAGTCTCAAATCAACATAATTTATCTCACAACACTGCTCCCAAGTAAGTGTGAGTTCAATACAAACGAAACATAGTTTGATCTTATTTTTGTTATCGTCTTTCCCTTTTTAAGCTCAGTTCAGACGTTTCACCCTGTTTCTTCATTTCCAATGAAATCATTCACTCTCTCTCTTTCTGTCCAACTGTCTCAGTCATCAATTTCTCACTCACCTTGTTCACAACGCTCAATTCCATCCCCACGAAATCCCGGGAGGCATTGACAAAATCCTTGTGCCGGGTTAATACAACGCGCATTCAGGTGACAAGAAAGCTGTCCACAAGGTTCACGTTCCCCGGGAACATCTGTTTCGGTGAATGAAACATTACCGTCCACATGGATTGGAACGGCAAGGATAAGTAGGACAACACAGAGGTTATTAATCCACAGGTGTATCATAGTTCACATTTATCGACAGAATTGCAATCAGTTAGTTACAATCGTAAATAGCCAGCAAAAGAATTTGGTGAGTTTTCGATCAAAGTTAGATTAGTGGAATGAAAAAATGTGCATACGCGACTGGAAACGAATTTCGGTCGCTCAGAATTGTTTGCTGTAGTGCATACAAATTACCGTTCGCGGTATATATGGTTATCAAGCCACATATCGATTCGTTTCGGGTGGAGTGTGTGTATGTCTGTCTACCTGTCATTAGATAATGTCGCTGTCCGAAACATACGGATACTGCCCCGCAGGTTAAGACAATAAGAAAATCAAGAACAAGATCACTAATTTAACTCGGTTTGTAAGTTTATGTGCTGAATTATGTGTTGAAGTATCAAATGGACAACCGTCATATGCCCACATGGCCACTTACAACTAACTACTAAATCGATGCATCAAGCAGGTAAACACGCTGAATGAAAAGGTTTCTGGATCAACTTGTCCTGTAGTGATATCTCGTGACTATCGTGATTGGTGTCTGCGCGTACATGTGTATGTGCGCATCTAAACAACACGCTATTTGACTTTGCGAATGATTTGAACGCGGAATGCTGCGTCCAGTGAACTACCTGGAGAGAGCGGACTATCTATCTGGCGGCATAACTAGCTGTCTGAATGATAGGGTTATGAAAAACATTGTCATGCTTTTTGTCCTTTACTGATTAAGTAATGTAGTAATGTAGTCAGACAGCCTTGGTGACATTTTTTCTCCGAAGAAATTTGTTTTTATGGGGGGAAACAAGCGTTACTCAAAGTAAGATATTTTACCAACTGAAACTCTATGGTCATTTTCAGTCAAATTATTTCTATTAGTGTTATGCACCTGGTTTGTAGTTCAGTATGTATTAACCCATAAGTAACCTATCAAGTTAGAGCTCATGTGATTTGTATTTCATTGATCAGAATGGAGTGGTTAACTGAACAATAGCTCACGGTACCTTTCAGGTGAACCGAGGCAGTTGTGCTTATAAGAAGCTAAAATGTTTTGACCAGTAGAGCTTGCGGCAATTCTACTAAATGTGACCTCCCGATCCTTAAATTTAATGAAATTGGGCTTGTCAGTGCACTTCGATCTACAAGGACATCAATGGAACTACGCTGCTTCACAAAAAAGACTTGTCATTTCACTTGACTTACACCTGCTAAGTGCAATTGAGTTTATTGATTTTTCAGCGCTTTGCGTTTTTGGAATTCTTATTTCATGGTTACCCTTGCATCTAGTGAGTTGTTCGCTAACAGAACTGATATAATGACGGAGAGATAACCTTAGTTCGCGAGTAGTTGACAACAATCACTTTCAAACGGCGGTTGTAGCGTTGGTTGTTCATGTTCAGAAAGTCAAAGCTGGGCATGGATTTCTTCGTAAAATAGTAACACAAATAGCACATTCTTTCATTCGATGTTTTTCATTTTCATGAACTTCATCGGGTTGTTGAATTTAATCATCAAGTTGTGTGCAGTTTTTAAGTTGATCTATTTGTCTGGACACGAATAGTTAGAACAATCTGAATCTATTCCCTTTTGGCACCCGAGCCACCAGAACGTGTGTTTAGTGGGACACCAAGTCTTTTCATCTTTTGTTGACCAAGATTTCACCCACGTGTGCTCAATTTTGCTTTTTGACCAGTTTTCAGAACCGAGCAGACGGGTGCGCACCTTTAGATTGCCGAAACACATTCCACTATTGTCGAAACCTTTTCTATCCACAGAAAGCAGGGCGTCAAGTTGGTTCGTTTCACCTGTTGACGTTCTGCTTACACAACACTACAGCATTTAAAGCGCAAATGAATAGTATGAGGTAACTGGTTTTCAACTATGTGAACCGATACATTGGATCTTTTTGTCACGTTCTCAGGAACCGCCTATGGCAGAGACTAAATCTGTTCAGGGCCACTTTGAAACCGTGACTGTAAATAGGTTCGCCATCCATCCATTCATTCATCGAATTCAACCACTGGTGTTCGAACAATTATTAGAAACCTGAACCGATTGTTTGTTTGATCATGAGAGAAAAGGAGCGAAAGGCGAACCATCACAGATTTCCATGAGCGAGTAGCATTGATACAGACCTGGCTTGCTCCTGTCAGCTGATCACCAGAGGGAGATCAATTGTGTGAAAACGGTCATCCATGTGTGAATGTGAGGAGGAGTTAGTGCAATGGGTGAGGGACAGAACGTGGGAGAGGAGAGGCGGAGGTTGGGGGTGGGATGGGGGTAGGGGTGAGGACGGGAAGATAAAGAAAGCAAACAAACAAGTGTAATACAGCCGGTACCAAATCAGTGCTTGTTAGTAGAAATGTATGTGAAAACAAGCTTGTGCAAGCAAAACTCTCGGAGAAAGTAATAAGCAATCAGTAGGGACCGCAATGTGCGACACGTGTGAAGAAACTTCAAGCACATCAGTGCTGAAATATAAGCAACACATCACCGAGACTGCTACTCCGTGCATGCACTGTTGTTAGTCCAAGCGTGGATTATTGTT